AGACTATTTCATTTAATAAATATTTTGTTTTGATATATAAGTAGTTCGGGTTTTTTCAAAATGCGACATTATTTTTTACGACAGAAAAAACAACAACTAAAGTTTCATCAAACAATGTACTAGATCAAAAAGTGTATACGATAAGAAAATTAATAGTATAGTGATATTACCATACATAAAAGGGTGACTAGCAATGTGTTCAGCAAACATAATTTATTCCTATTTTTAAACCATTTAACAAAATGAAAACAATACTTCCTAATACTAAACATAAGTCATCTCGGATAAAAAAGGTATACACGAAATCAGGTGGGAGTAAAATAAAAATATATTGGTCTATCTACACGTAAGTTAAAATTCGTCATAATAAGCATAAAGGTCATTTACGTTATAAAAAGATGCTAATTTCTTCACTTGCTGAACACGCTATCGAAATAGGTCTTTCGTTACAATGGTATGAAACAATAATTTTAAATGAACCTAACACTCAATGTGAATAGAAATTGTTTTAAATTAAAAAAAAAACATATTCTCTAAATAAAGATGAAATGTAAGCTGGTCCTAACACGTAGCTTTGGAAAGAACTAATAATTTCTTATGTATGATGCTTAAACCTTTCTTAAAGTTTACAATGAGTTAAACATCCTCTTTTTAAAGGTATCCGCTTATAGTGTATGTTTTTTTACTCCTGATTGTGTCAGTGTAAAGCTACCGAAACATGTAGTCTTTTAACGTTAGCTGTCAGCCAAGTAAAGTTTTTATTATGTGTTTTAAACGTTGTTCTTACTTTTAATTTCTACCTTGATTGAATTTTCACCTTTAATAGTTTCTTTTACCATTTCAGTGTACCCCTCCTTGTAAGTTACACTAAATATATAGTTAATGGTAAATAAATAGTCCCAGAGTTGGTGGTGGGTGGCGTTGACTCTAGTGCCTAAATTATGGATAATTATCTTTGCGTGACATTCAAAAACAAACAAAACTAATTAAAACTTAGAATTCAAGATTAGTAATATTGTTTTACTTTTGTACGGGTCTTGTGTTAGACTATGTTTAGAGTAGAGTGTTCAGGTTTTTTGTTGTCGTTATTTTTCAAAATAAATATATATCTGTTGGAAATAGCGCGAGAAAACCCCCCACCAAAAGCGCAGTATTTGAAAGGATTAAGGGCTTGGATACTTGCCTGTAAGGAGTCTTTGTGATTTCTTAATTAACAAGGTAAGTATTTGTGACTTGAGTGTTTGAAGGAAATCTACTTAAAACTATCCAGAACCAGTAAAAGACCGCATTTGTTGTTCGCGAAAATGCATCTCGCATTTGCTTTTAAAACACCTTTTTAGGTAGTGTCTAAATGATATAAAAATGCTTAGAAAGTTTCTTAGAAAATATTTTAGCTTTTCTGTTAACACTAAACTTTATAATCTTAGCCAGAGACTTTCAGCAATTTCGTTCCTTCTTAAAACGACCTATTAAAATTCAGCGTTTCGTTGAACGTTCGCGAAAGACACTGTTTATTCCTTATTCATGATCTTTTCATCTATAACTTATATCACTTAGGTCATCACTTGCGTTTTCAATTTAGACCCCGCTTAAGTACGTTTAGAGCTGTAATATTTGTTTGTTTGTTGTTAAGCACAAAGTTACACAATGAGCTATTTGTGCTCTGCCCAATGTGGGTATTGAAACCCGAGTTTTTACATTATAACCTCTCAGACTTTCCACTGAGCCACCTGGGAGCATAGTTGTATTGACACTATATTCATTTATTTCAAAAAGTATCATAATCTTTTTTGTCTTTATATGAAAACTTTTTATTATTTTTGATGCCTCAGGGTATATGAATATATCATGAGGAAATTCTATGCAGTCATTGTAATTGAATGTTTAAAATATGAGTTACCGTTTTAAAGTTTTAAATTTCAAGTTGTTAAATCTGAATATTACTAGAAATGACTAGTTGCTGAATTAATTTTCACGGTACTATAAACTCAAAAGTTAATTTTACCAAAGGTTTGCTCACTTACGTACTGGTATTTTATTTAAATATAATTTGTTTACATATATCTATATTTAAATGGTTTGTGTGTTTGTTTCTCTCGTTTACTCACTCCAGAAAGGACTATATGTGCTAGCTAATTTTGAATTAATGAACTAGAGTGAAAGCAGGCAGCCAAGAGCACCCACAGGAAACTTAATATCAGACATGAGATTTTATTTTAGTGAGTGAGAACAGGTATTCTGGTATACGAGGTTTGGTATTTTGATATATAAGAACAGGTATTTTAGTGTATACTGTTTAGTATTCTGGTATGTGAAATAGCTATTTTAGTATGCAAGAATAACTGTTTTATATATGAGGTTTAGTATATGCGAATGCCATTTCATATAACAGAACG